TTCAGATTATGGCATCATACCGGGCAAATGTGCTAGTATGTGGGACGAGACGAAAATGAATTGGGATGCCACAAATGAGGAATAGTCGACTACTTTGATTGATCGCCCAGAAGTAATGGCAAGGAAAGATAATGGCGAGCTCACCCCATAGATTTTCGAAGATAACTCATTTGTACACATGAACATAATTGTCGGGATCAACTATGTAACTGTCAGGTCACGACTGCCAATTTTAGTGCATGGTTCAGCCACTTTTGGTTGTTGGGATATATAAGGCTCAAACCTATTCATTACAAGGAGAGAATCGAGACACGAATTTTACCATTTTTGGCAAAATTGTTCAGGTCAGTGGAGTCAGGGTGGTTCTAAAATTCTCGATTTATGAATTAATTCGAGATTATGAGTTTTGTGTAAGAATCGTTTTGTCTCCTTTATTTGATTCATTGTATTTCACTGATATGAAAATGTACGCCTTTGATTATGAACCTATTGAAAATTCAGAGGGTTTGCTAGAAACAACCTCTCTGGATTTTTTTAATCTCCAAGCACTAGAACTAGTTAAGTAATTAACAAGAAAATCAGGATTAGTTAACCAGGTGGGTATCAACTATCAAGTAATCAATTCATATCTTAATTGGTTAGTTACATTGATAGGAATTCGCATGTAAATTGTAGGAAGTGAGATAAGTCATGTAATGTGGAATGCACTGAAGGAATTGTATGAATGAGTAGTATGAAATATTGCTAAACCTTGGGGAAACTTTGTATAGGCAACACTCTCTCCCTTTGAATACAACCTTTGGTTATTTGCTTTCTTGTTTGTTGATCAATAGTAGTAGGACTGAGTGGTACTTCAACTACAATCCATTTTGTTTGGATAGTTTTTGTTAGATTTGAGTAGTCGAAAAGAAAATACATGACTGAATACGACTCCAAAGGTTTTTGTCCTTTGAATATAGTTTGGTCCAATTTCTATCCAAACCGTTTATTGAACTTTTGTGGTACTAAAGTGGAGGCAAGACTCTTAGCTGAATGAAAACAATTGAGTAAAATAAAAATAATTTTTTGTTATGAAAAAATAAATTAGTAATTCAAATAATATTTTTCAAAAGTTATAAATTCATATACAAGAAAACTTACTAATTATGAGATTTAACAGAACTACAATTATTTGATTTGCCCACGCTAATTAACTCTTGTACATAATAACATCCAAAATTACACTGTAAAATATACACTCATATAAAAATAATTAACCTATATTATTTACCTTATCACATTTCAACTCTTTGCCTCGCTAATCCTGTTACCTTGAGACGAGAAAGTTGGAGCTACTGTTAACGTCGACGTTGGTCGCTTACTACTCCCACTCCAGCCCAATGGTGGTGCTTGCTCTGACACCCTCCACATTTTCACAGACTTATCAAGGCTCCCACTATACAAAGTCCATGACTTCCCTCCAGTCCCTGCCATTGGGTTTGGGTCCTCTTCCACTGCTAAGCATTTCACTGGTCCAGTGTGTCCACTTAACTGCGACAAACATGTGTGCTCGATCCCGCTCCTCCTCCACACGCAAATCCCCATATCTGCTGAACCACTAAACACTAGGCTCCCGACCGAGACCAAGCAGAGTACTGCCAATTTATGCCCTCTCAAAACGCCACCGTGCAATATTTGTGTGTTCCTCTCCCAAAAATTGACGAGTCCGTCAGAGGATCCACAATATACAACTGTGGCCTCCGGTGGATTTACTGCCAAAGCTGTAATAGCACACTCTTGCTTCAATAGAGTCTGGGAAAAGAAATGTTTCGTCCCTTTCCCTTGCAACTCCCTCCGCCACACTTTCACACTACCATCTGCAGAACCTGTGAACACTAATCCATCAAATCCAGCCACAAGGGCGTTTACCGCATCTTCATGGGCGACAATTGATTCTAGGCATTTGAAATCGGAGATCCGCCACACTTTGAAGGTCTTGTCCCAGGATGCAGAGTAAAGGTAGGCGCCATCCTCGCTTATGCCGAGGCATGAAATTGCATCAAAATGTTTTAGCCAAAGGCCATTGAACCCATTTTTTCTCGTCTCACTAATGTAATTGCTGGGTTTAATTGAGTTCTTTACCACATCCTTGAGAGTAGGTAAGGTCCCAACCCTTTTGTGAACCGTTGGATCTTTGGAAGAAATTTTCCAGACCCGAACTTTCCCATCCTGGTGACCCGTGAATATCTTGTCATTGGAGATAATAATCGCCTTTACTAACCCACTATTTGATTTGAATCCAGAGAATTCTCGATGATTCTTCCAAACCCGAATGTTCTTGCTATCGGATCCCGTGTATAGTAAATCCCCTACCGCTGCCAGTGAATAAATATGCCCTTCTTCCCTCACCAGAGAACCCAACAACACATTGGGGCAGAAATTCGAGCCATCGCCACCACCATCCTCATCAATGTTCAAATTCATATGAGACGACCAGGGAGACTGGGTTAAAGGAGATGGCACGTTGGACAAATCGTCACTCCCGGGTGGCGAATTATCCATCACATTAAATGAGTTATGAACCAAATGGTTCTGCTTGAGCAAGGAAGATCCTTCCTATGCTTTATATGTTGGAGTTTTTGCGCGCTTGTTATTCTTCAAAGGAATCATCAGCATGCTCGTCTGGCTTTGAGGAAGGAATTGCGATAATGCTATGATTTTGACTTTTTTGTTAGATGATGACAATTTTTTTATGGGAATGATGGATTAAGATGACAAGATTTTGGCTGATCTTGAAAAGAGAAAAGGAGGAGCACAAGCAGAAAGAAGGAAAACATCATTGACGATGAAGAAGAAAAAGGAGAGAAGGTAACGAGGACGAATGGAAACAAGAAGAAAGGAGAAGAAAGCGATACAAGGGAATAAGAGAAATTTATATTTGCCTATTATGAACCAGAATGTTGAAAATTTAGTAATTACTGAATGAGGGAGAAAATGACTCATTATTTATTTAGTTTATTCTCTCTCCCTCATTCCCCTTTCTTACAATAGGGCTATCATCGTCCTCAGCGTTCAGATATGAATGGTTGAGATTGATTGATTTTTAGATGACCTTCTATAAGAAAAATGGTAAATACTAATTATTAGCTAAACCTTTTCCGCATTTTTAAATATTAGCCAAACCTTTCGAAATACAAAATGTTACCCAAATCTTTTGCAACGCATCAAAAGATTAGCCATTTTCCATTACCGTTAATAATTTTATAATTTTTTTCTTAGTTAAAATACTAAAGTTTTGGAATGTTGGCTCCATGTGTCTCTTCCAAGTCAGTAACATGTTGTCAAGTCTATATTACTAACAAAACTGTTAACTGGAAGTTAACATTTGACTAATATTTTATAATTTTCAAAGGTTTGACTAATAATTAGTATTTACCTTAAGGAAAAAAAACAAGAGGAGCCAAATACTCTTTTTGTGGGTCGGTCCCATCCCCCCTTCCTCTCTTTTGCGCTCTCTTACTTTTGAATACTTGTTCAAACATTCTGATGACTTCTTTGACTCTTTTAAATATTTGTTCGATGCCTATTAATATGTATTCATTTGTGTGGAATATTTGTTGTCTCAGATATGAGAATACTAGTTCGACGCTTTTGAATATTTGTTGGACTCCTATTAATATGTGTTTATTTGTGTGAATATTTATTGGTTCCAGATAGAAGAATACTAGTTCGAAACTTTTGAATATTTGTTCGACGCATTTGAGTACTTCACCGACATTTTTTAATATTTGTTTGAAGCCTATGAATACGTGTTCATTTGTGTGATGTATTTGCTTGTCTCGGAGATGAGAATACTTGTTGGAACCTTTTGAATACGGGTTCAACCCGTTTGAGTACTTATTCGATGCCTTTGAATACTTTCTTCAGCGCTTTTGAGTACTCGTTCGACGCTTGTGAATGCAAGCGTCGAACGAGTACTCAAAAGCACCTAAGAAAGTATTAAAAAACATCGAACAAATATTCAAACTATTAGTCTCATATCTGAGACCAGTAAATATTACACATAATGACCACGTATTAATAGGCTTCAAACAAATATTTAAAAGCGCTAAAAAGTCTTAAAGGTATTCAAATAAACAACACCAATATATTTCTACTTTAGGCAAAACTCATGCACTATCTTATTAATTAAAGATTGGAAGAGAAAGATTATTGCCAGCCTCCAAAAACACACACAATTCATTACCTTCATACTATTTGTATGTAGATTGTCAAAAAAATACTATTTGTATGTATTTGTCACCAAAAAAACTATCGATATGTACTTTTGTTAGCTGACTACTTCCAACGGTTTTAAACTAATCATATATGCATTTATGTTAATTGCTAACTATAAGTTGATTGTTACATTTCTATCTATTTTTATTTAATTAAACTTTAGTTATGATGTTCATTTTTTGAATTATAATTTGTGGTATCAGAACAAACAAAAGTGTACCAAAAATTAGTGAGTAGCCGAGATACAATCTGCACATCCACTCCATTAGCTAAAGCGAAACTAAATCTAGTAAAAATGTACGCAACCGCCCAAACTCCTGCATCCTGAGACACAGATAATTTCTAAATTCGTTTGAGCAAAGTTACAACATCCATACCTTATAGTTATAACAAAACATTAAATTTTGATTTGATCGTTATATTAATTTGATCACTTTCATTGAAATATTTATTCCACATTTAAATTATTACCAAAATTTACCATACTAGCCCTTCCCGCTAGCCACCATATCAAAAGCCAAAAGCTACCCTTCACTGTCTCCCACTCTCCCTTTCACTCTCAGAGCTTTCACCTCGACAAAACAACAACTACAAGGAAAGCAAAGTAAAATGTGTTTAACGATAATTAATCCTTCATAATAAGCGCCATTAACTACTTAATTTATACCCTGCACGCGAAAGGGACAATTCGGATTTTCCTTTAAGTATATTAAAAATGTTTTAATTACCATAATAATTTTGCACAGATAGATTCCCCCTCCAGCTCCTGGTTTTTCATCGCTGTCACTTTCCCTCTCTCTCCATTTTTTCTCAGCACATTTTCCTTCTCCCCAAACATCCCCTCCTGCCTCCTCCTCCTCCCCACTAGCTTCCACTTTTGTTCTCATTTTTTTCATCCTTCCCGAGAGCTTGTCTTCTCTTCCTTGGATGCTTCTTCTTCTTCCCACTTCTCGATTCGAAACAGCCCCCCCTTTTGCCTCGCAATTCGGAAATTCCCCCTCTCTTATCTTCAAGCAAGCTTCCCTTTTCTCGGCCTTCTTTCCGGCTTCTCCCTCTCCCGCTTTTCCAGTCTTTGCTCGCGGCTAACGGCGGGAGTAGTGATTTGAGCTCGAGGTGGCTTTTCCGCTTTCAAAATTTGAGCTTGGTGGAGAGGGGAAAAAAAAAACAAAAAAGATTTGTTGTTTGGAGCTTTTTATCCCCATGGTGGGGATTGGATTTAGGGTTCGGATTTAGTTAGTGGGTTTTTTCCGGAATAGGTAAAGAGGGGGAAAGCGATAGAGTAGAGAGAGAGAGAGGGAGGGAATTATGCCACTGGAGGTTGAAGATGGAGGAGGAGCTCAGTACTCTTTTGCTCTCGAATACGATGGTCCTCCGGTGCCGTACGATCTACCTCGAGCTGTCCCGATCAACGTCAGTAAAATCCCCGTCGCCGCCGTGGTCTCGCCGCTCGCTCTCCCGGGTAAGCTTCCCTTGCCTGTTGTCAAGCCGCTGTTGGCCGCCGGCGACGATCCGAGCAGGGCTCTCGGGCCGAGGGAGCTCAAATCCGTGGCCGTGTCGCCGACTTCCGTGATTGGTAATGTGAACGGCGAGGAGTCGAGGTCGGATGAGACGGCGTCCACGGTTTCCCCGACGTCGGTAATCGAGAGGGCAGCGGAGAACAGTCGGGAGTCTGGCGAGTTGAGTAGCTCCGGCGGGTTGGAGTTCTCGACTGGGCGCTACGGGCCCAGCAGCTCCGGCGCCATTGACTTCTCTGACAGCTTCGGGAACAAGTCGCGGGAGGGTTTGGCGACGGTTAGGGTTTCGGAGGAATTGAATCAAGATTGGGAGTCGAATGAGTCTGTTCTCAGCGTGGAGTACCCTTCTTCCCGGGTTTCTAGTGTCAAAGCAGCTTCTGGGGAGTGCCACAGCGAGTTGATTAACGGTCATGGAGATGGCAGAAGAACCCCAGTCGTTAAATTTGCTAATGTTGATTCGGAAGGGGACGACCTTGGAGATGGCGAAGTTGATGACGAAGAGTACCGCGAAGAAGAACAACCCAGGATTATGCAAGTTAAGAGAGAGCCTCAGAGCAAAGGGAAAAAGGGAACTTGTTATAGATGCTTTAAGGGTAACCGATTTACGGAGAAGGAGGTTTGTCTTGTTTGTGATGCCAAGTATTGCAGTAACTGTATACTTAGAGCTATGGGATCAATGCCTGAAGGAAGAAAATGTCTTAGTTGTATTGGGTACCCTATCGATGAATCCAATAGGGCCAATCTAGGGAAATGTTCAAGAATGCTCAAAAAATTGCTGAATGATTTGGAGGTTCGCCAAATAATGAAAGCGGAGAAGTTCTGCGAGGCAAATCAGTTGCCTCCAGAGTATATCTGCGTGAATGGGATGCCTCTTTGTCATGAGGAGTTGGTCCTTCTGCAGACTTGTGTTAACCCACCAAAGAAATTGAAACCCGGGAACTATTGGTATGATAAAGTATCCGGTCTTTGGGGAAAGGTAAATGTGGCGTAGCCTTTCGAAGATCATTTCATTTCTTCTTAGTTATAATTCCTTGACATTATGAGGGTTTAACAGATGCACTGAACGTGAAATTTACAGGAGGGACAAAAGCCTTCTCAAATCATTAGCGCTCATCTGAATGTGGGAGGTCCTATAGATGCAAATGCGAGCAATGGAAACGCTAACGTCTACATCAATGGTCGAGAGATTACGAAAGCCGAACTTAGAATGTTGCAGGTCAGAAATTGGCATGTTCACCTTTTATTACTGGATTTGGAAGCCACTTGATATCTATGATAGATTATTAAAATGTATATTTGAACATTGCAGTTGGCAGGAGTTCAATGTGCTGGCAATCCTCATTTCTGGGTGAATGAGGATGGATCATACCAGGAAGAAGGACAGAAGAACACTAAGGGCTACATTTGGGGCAAGGTATGGTTTGCTGCCTAAGTAGTTGTCTGCTTCAAATTATGCCTTCTACTTATAATTTTGTCGTTCGGCCTGATTTATCTGGAAACTCGCTTTTCAGGGTGCAATGAAGCTTGTCTGCACATTCCTGTCATTGCCAGTTCCTTCAAAATCTTCTAATTATTCCGAGGAGCAAATGAACAGTCCAATGAGCAGAAGTATTCCTGATTATCTCGAGCAGCGGACACTTCTGAAATTTCTCTTAGTTGGATGTAGTGGATCTGGAACAAGTACCATTTTCAAGCAGGTAATGTAGGAAATTGTTTCTTTCATTAACTATGTGTTGTAGGAGATGATCCTCTGGTTGTCATATAGAAAAGCTATCCTCTAGGAAGAATTTAGTTTCCAGGTAGATTAGCTCTAAATATTTTGAATTTTGATAGAAGAGCAATGTTGAACTAAGTGTCTTTTCAGGCGAAGATTCTTTACAAGCCCATTCCTTTCACCGAGGATGAGCGAGAAAATATTAAATTGACGATCCAAGGCAATGTGTATGGCTATCTTGGTATTCTCCTTGAAGGCCGTGACCGTTTTGAAGAGGAGAGTTCGTCTGAAGTAAAGAAAGATCAATTGTCAAACCAAACCAATGCCACTGGTAAGCGTGACATTTACACTCTTTTGATCTTGTAAAGTTTTTCTCTGTATTTGTCACATGCTGAAGTAAAATATCAACAAGTAAGCTGAAACCATGCTGTTGGCTGATGACAGGGGAGGGTAGTAGCAATAGCTCCAAGACTCTATACACTATTGGACCGAGGCTTAAATCATTCTCAGATTGGCTTTTAAAGACCATGGTGTCAGGAAACCTGGAAGCAATTTTTCCTGCTGCCACTCGAGAATATGCCCCATTGGTTGAAGAGTTGTGGAAAGATCCAGCCATTCAGGCAACATACAAGCGAAGAAGTGAACTGGAAATGCTGCCTAGAGTAGCTAGCTATTTCTTAGAGCGGGTAATGTTTCAATGGAGTTTAATAAATTTAGTTTTAATCAATGTGATTGGTTTAGTATGATGTCCTAACTCAGCATCCCATGTGTAGATCAAGTCTGAAAGGTTAAAACTTGTCAAAGTAAAGTATTATTAGGATAAACTCTCTTTGGTTTGTTTATACTAAAGCCTAATTTCTTCTCCTTACAGGCAGTTGAGATATTAGTACCAGACTATGAACCCTCAGATATGGACATCCTCTACGCTGAGGGTGTTACATCATCTAATGGTCTGGCTTCTCTGGACTTCTCATTTCCTCAGTCAACATACGATCAAAAGTTTGACCACGACGAGCAGCACGATTCTCTGCTTAGGTGAGTGAGTTCGATACCTGAAAGTTCAAAGTCCTTGTTTGAATATCATATATACTTAGGGGCCATTTGGATGTTAGTCTTTAAAAAATGACGGAGTACACACTTGTGAATTCCAAATCCACATGAATTTCTGATTTTGTGTTTGGATGTTGGATGCTGGATTTTAAGATTGATTGCTAGAAATGAATTGAGTCACTTGAAGATAAATTGGCCTTAATGCCTCTGTAATACTTATCACTCATGGATTTCAAAAACGCCGACAACAAAATAGACTGATGGAGGATGAATTTCAGAAACTGGGGCAATGGATTTGGTACCCTCATGAACTTATAAGTCCTTGAAGTTGACATATATTTGTTCCACCAACAAGGGATCCATGACTAGGCTGAGTTGAACCGAGCGGTTATTTCCTATTTGGATCGAATTGCTTGAGACATTGATCACTTTATAGTTCAATTCGATTTTGATTCCATAAATTTGCTGGAAAAAAAAAAGTACCAAATTGAGCCAATCATGCTTTTGGCTGTCTCTGGTCCTCATTTTTTCTTTATTTGTATCCGGTCACTTGCTGGTGGACTGCAATGTAACGTGTATATCCTTAGTATTTGAAGTCTCTGTTCCTTGTTATCAATTTGCTTATTTTTTGACCGAAGAACTTCCTTTGTTACCCCAGATACCAACTGATCAGACTGCAACCACGAGGCATCAATGAAAATTGCAAGTGGCTAGAGATGTTCGAAGACATTGGGATGATCATCTTTTGTGTCTCCTTGAGCGACTATGACCAGGTCTCTTTCGACATCAATGGTTCTCCCACTAACAAGATGATGCAGAGCCGTAAGTTCTTCGAGACCATCGTGACTCATCCGACCTTCGAGCAGATGGACGTCCTTTTGATACTAAACAAGTTTGACGTATTCGAGGAGAAAATGGAGCGGGTTCCACTGACAGAATGTGAGTGGTTCGACGATTTCCATCCCCTCATAAGCCGCCATCGTTCAAGCAGCAATAGCCACAGCAGCAGCAACATAAACCACAGCCCTTCGCTCGGCCAGCTGGGTTTCCACTACGTTGCTGTGAAGTTCAAGCGCCTTTACGCATCGCTCACTGGTAGGAAGTTGTTCGTCTCCATGGTCAAAGCTCTGGAGCCTGATAGCGTCGACTCTAGTCTGAAGTACGCGAGGGAGATCATGAAGTGGGATGACGAGAGACCCAACTTCAGCTTGAGTGAGTATTCTATATACAGCACCGAAGCGAGTTCATACTCTCCTTGATCGAGCATGTTTGGGAATTGCTCGGCACACCTTTGTGTACATAGAATGTCCGTGTAAATGAAGCAAGTGAAAGGCCAGATATATGAAATGAATGTACAAGCTATCTCTTATTAGGTACCACAATACCATGTTTGTTTGTTTTGATTTGTTTGCCCTTACTAGATCATTACCAAAATCCTTTTTGTCACAGATTTGGAAGTGGAAAACAGTGAGTAAGTATTCGATTTTCGTGATTTTAGTTGGTTTCATCTGGTTGGCAGGGTTCAGTTCATATTGACTTGTGATTGTAAACCCTTGATACAAGCTTAAAGTAGGTCTACTGCATACTTGCGCTTCATCACGTTATCTAAGGCATAACAGCAAAACGCATTGGATCAGAACGAAGCCGAGAATAATTTTGATGCTAACACATCATTAGGATAGCGAACACGAACACAAAATGAACAAAATGATGATAAATTTCATAAATTTCTTATAGATGAACGTATTTCTTAGAGGTATTATGGATGACTCTAAGATTGGTTGCGAATTATCAGAATCATATACAAATGTGCTAAACTTTCATCATCAAACTTAGAATTCTCATTTTTTTATTTTGACCTAAACCGTTTTAGACCGAACCGGTTATGTACATCCCAATTGCCACCAAATTTCAGCCCATCTAACGGTTGGAGTGCTGCTCAACTCGTGGTGCAACTCGGTTGAAACTCGGGGTGTGCGTATATATTCGGTCCTTCGTCCACAACGAACTCTGAAGTCCGAACACAAACGGAGAGAGAGAGAGAAAAAATGGCGTTGAGAGCAGCTTTGATTCGTCACCTCCGGGTTCCCGTCCAAACCGTTTCTCCCGCCGGCCGAGTCTCTCAGCCGTCGGTGGCCAACAGCCTCTTCGGTTCCATCCGGTTCATGTCATCGCACGACGACCATCTCAGCAAGGAAGATGTCGCCGACAGAGTCCTCTCCGTCGTTAAGAGCTTCCCTAAAGTCGATCCGTCCAAGGTCCGTCTCTCCGTCGAATTACCTTTCTTTACCTCGCTGTCTTCTTCCAGAGTTCCGTAGATCCATTCCTGCTTTCTTACACCTTGTCATTTCGTTCGGATTGGGAATGTTTCATTTCTGCCTCTCTAGGGTTTATTGATGTTTTAGAGACTGGCCAGTTCTGAATGAAGTGATTAATTTTACTCCAGTTCATCTGCCGTTGTAGATCCAATACAGTACGATAATCAATATGACCTGAGGAAGTGAAGTGAATCTTCACTCTCCGATTGTACGGGAAAGGGGTTAATTAAGATAGGTACTGGCCCTTAATCAGCGAGTCTGTTGACCTTTATCAGAGGATGTTGTTGGGCAAATGTGAAAGACCCAATTAGCAGATGAACTATGTTGGAATTTCTCCTGACCTCTCTTACTATTATGTGCCTGGCTCATTGCCCTTGAGGATTTTCTGGCAAGTTCTTATGCTGGTTAACCTTGATTGAAGCAAATTTGTGTGTGAGGTTGCCTGGCATAGATGGAGATATTTCAGACTCTATGCTGATGTCCATGGGAGCTGAAATTAGTTCTTAGCTCACTCTCCCTTAGGGTTTATCTTAAATTACCTTGCCTTGTGTAGCCTTGCATTTGCTTTCAGTCCTGCAACACTCTATATCATCGATGTCAGAACGTCAGTTTGTATGTCAGTGGCCATGTAGCTTAATCTATCTGTATTGTTGGGTGACAAGAGTTCTTATCATCTCTAGTCTCTTTAAGTTATTTGTTTCTGCAATGCATAAACCGTGCTGTCAATTATTTCCTAGTATTTGATACACTTGGTGACAGTAGCTTTATCTGCAATCATTGCAGGTGACTCCTGACGTACATTTCCAGAGCGATCTAGGGCTGGACAGCTTGGACAATGTCGAGATTTTGATGGCTTTGGAAGAGGAATTCAAGCTGGAGATTCCCGACAAGGAAGCTGACAAAATCGATTCCTGCAAACTCGCTATCGAGTACATTCATAACCATCCGATGGCTAGTTGAAACTACATGAGCCTGTGTTCATGAGTTTTTTTGTTTTGTTTTGTTACCGTTCTTTCCCAGTGGACATCAGGACATGTATCAGCTGTATTCATGTTTAGACTTTGCTGTCCCTGTGTTCCGTTCTGAATTCGTTCTCCAAAAAAAATTTGGCAGAGAGAATAATCTGAAACTGGGTTTTTCATAGGAGTAGAGCTTTGGGTTATTGACTTGATAGGCTTGTGTCTTTGGGTTACTGGTACACGGTGCAGTGGCGGTTCATTCGCTATTGTATTGCCCAAAGTTCTATTGTATTGCCCTTGATTTTGGCATCTTGAAACTCTGCCATCTTCTTTCTTCCACTTCTATGAATGCAATCCTCTCTCCAGTTTCGTATTTGGAGCGAACATTCGATCATGTACAATGCAACCGATATCTCTAAACAATACGGAGTAAAGTTTCGTTTCGTTCAGAGATGCTAAACATGAACTTTCACCTCCCTTTCAATCCCTTTCAATCCACCACCGGCGGCAGGAGGAGTTCCATTTCCACGTTGAACATGAACTTTCACCTCCCGGCAAACATGATCACCGTCCGAAACTATCAACTCGAACACACATTCGTCTCCAAACATGATTTGGTTCTCCCTCCTGAAGTTACTCCACCCTGTATTGATCACAACCCGGCCATCCAACCTCGACGTCACGAACGCAGTCGATGAATTCCCTGCATCGCCATTGGTGAGAGTTATTGCATCCTCCAGTTTGATGTTGTAATCTCTCAACACCGAAATTGGAACACTCTGCAAAATAGAAGATAGTTTCACGATTCCACTACTCCATTGCCAGAGGTTGGATGATCAAATTTCATCAACCCTGTTTATCTTTACAGTACAAAAGAGAAGGGATAGCAGAAAATTTGTACCACGCTGTACGCGCAATGCTTCGTCATCTTGACTGTAAAGTGAGGACCTTCTAGTTGCACAAATGATTCTTTTACTCGTCCTCTTCTGATTCCTGCCAAAAAAGAAAAACAGAGAATCTCTTGGTGAAATTGTGATTCCAATAGAATCTCTCAAAGCTCTGTTTTACTTCCAGAGCTCTGCATTTTCTTTACCGCTCGTCTTGTTCACCGACTCTGTTTCTTGACCCCCTCGCCTTCTCCTCTTCCGGCCGCCGCCGCTGCGACGGCGTCGCTTAGACTCCTCCCAATCGCTACCGCTGCTTTCGCTCTCCAGCTGTTCCTCCTTCACAAGAATCTCTTCAGCGAATTTTATCTCTTTTCGTTGTTGTTTCTCTGTTACCTTTCGTTTTCCTTCTTGTTCCTCTGTTTTCTTTTGTTTTCCTTCTTCTTTCTCCTTTTCGATTGGTTCTTCTTGCTTCACGGTCTTTAACGTAAGAGCTTGAGAATTTACGTTCGCCTTCTTCTTCTTGAGCCCGTTTCTCCCGAAAACTTCGACATTGAAGCAGCAGTTACCACGGTACCTGAAAACCAAGAAATCCCCATCTACCAAACAATGGCCGGTCACGAACTCCGGCCACCCATCGTCAAGCAACAGATCCCCAAGATCCTGTTCCCTCTTCATCACCATCGCCCATGTCTTCCCCGTTTCGTCTTCGAGAGTCGCGTTCTTCTTCAGAGTCCTCCTTCCCAGTCCCTCGGCGACGAACGCCGGCGGAAACCTCTGCAGAATTCCGGGGAGAAAACAAAACGGAAAAAGATTGGAACTTTGTAGTTACCCAACTACGGAAACAAAAAATAAAAACAGGGTTTTGAGTCCATGGGACGAATGTGGGGGGGGAGAAGTACGTACGAGTTGGGTGGAGCTGTTCTCTGCGAGGAAGACTTTGAAGAATTCTGATGAGAAACCGCTGCTCTCGCGGGCGGCTGCCATGCTTAATGTTAATACAGAGAACTGAGAAGAGGTAGAAACCCTAATACAGAGACTGGATGGAGAGAAAAAAAAAACGCCGAATTTGCCGGTGCAGTGTAATCAGTAATGGCCCCAAACACGTAAACGTAGAGGGTGGCGTGGCGTGGCGCGAAATAAGTTCGTTTACAGAGAAGAGAAGGAAAAGGGGCGGGGATGTTGACTTTGCTTTGACTCTTTGGCGCGGGGAAAAAAGTAGCCGGGCTCACCATCCATCACTAATATAACGAGTGAGTGACGCCTAACACCATTAATTTACTTGCAACTTGCAAGAGAGATCAGATGACTTCTACGGGCGATCGGAGACGCGACGACGCCGGCAGCAGCGGCTTGGTGGCCGGAACCCGGTTCTTCAAGATCATCCTTCAGAGCACCCTTCGCGACAGAAAGCTCGTAAGAAATGACAGCCTCTCAACAACAAGTTTCCTACCCATTTCATCAAAATTGATTCATGCTAAACTTTTGCAGCTGATTCCTGGTAAATTCGTCGGAAACGGCGACGAGGGTTTGCCGAAATCCGCAATCTTGAAGGTCCCAAGTGGCGCGACGTGGGCGGTGGATGTGGTTAGGGACGAAATCGGGGTCTGGTTCAGCAATGGATGGGGGGAATTCGCGGAGTTCCACTCGTTGGAATTTGGGCATTTCTTGGTTTTCGAGTACGAGGGTTGCTCCAGATTCTCCGTAGTCATATGTGATAAGACTGCTGTTGAGATTGCTTACCCGATTCCCAGAACTTGTGAAGCAAATGTTGGAGGAATTGAGGATTGCTTTGATACCCGCATGAGAAAGAAGTCGAAAACCCTAATTGAGGTTTCTCAGCGTCAAGTTCAGAGCAAGAAGAAGATGAGGATGAATGGTAGTATTTCTGATGGTAAACTCAAATGCGGTTTCTTCTTGTTCTATGGTTTATGCAGTAGTGTATGAAAACTCGAGTTGCCTGAAATTCATAGTGCTCAACTGAATTTGAATGCAGGAATACCAGAATCAAGGTGGGCAAGCTCGATCAGTCCAAGCTTCTTCATTACCATAAGTCAATACATGGAGAAATATGCAGTAAGTTTAGTAATTCCAATCGAATCGATGCAATCCACCTCTTTTTAAGCAGGCTTCTCTCAAGAAAATCTGATCTCTCTCGCGGTCTTTTTCTTCTCAATGAACATGTAGACTGTGCCGATTGATTTTGTGATCAAACACATGAAGCTTGAGAAAAGCACTGTGATGGTTTATGGTGAAGATGGCTTGGGCCCGTGGTGCTTGTCCTTCGTCTTTAGACCAGACCGTAAACCTCGAAGGGGACGTGGACGGGGCTTCTTCTGTGGCGGTTGGTCAACATTCTGTAATGGCAACTCTCTGAAACTAGGGGATGTCTGCCGATTCAAGCTCATCTCCAGCAATAAGATGGAAGTGACTATTCAGAGGAATCAAGTTGATGTGCTGTGTTAGTTGTCGCTTTTTGTGTGTTTAGGAGTGACGATGCAGATGAGAGTAGGAGACTACTAGTTTGTAGCTGAGGGAACTAATTCGTAAGAGAATGTGTTTAATTAGATTCTGCCTGTTGTTTGTTGTGTTCTTTGGAATACTGTTCCTCTTTATGCTTTGCTTGGGTTGAAATTTTGCACCAGGGAAGAAAACTTATTAATGCTTCATGAGGATGCAGGACTTTTGTCTGCCATGCCATCTTTCATCTTTGTTTCTTCAGTTTAACATTTCTGTGTCCAGCCAGCTGCAAATGAAATTAATGTAAAAAGGAAGCAGTGGATTATATATATTTTAATATAACTGATCTCTTCCATTTGGGCGGGAAATATAGTTCTGGTCAAATTTGTTTATTTGCTCTCATCAGCTGGATTTGGAACAGAAGAGCAGCAAAGGGCTCATCCCGATCCTTGGATGATCATATCAATGACAATCCAATGGTCCATAATATGAGTATCACCATGTTTTCCCAGATTTCCCAGAATTAGAAATAACACAAGCCTGACACCCAACTACATCAGGCATCAGAGTAGCCCATTTTCTTTTCCTCTCTCTGTCTTGCCTCTTTCAAGCTTTTCTCCTTCCCCTTTCCCTTCTCTAAACCCTACAAAGCAACAAGTGTTTCTCCTCCAGAGTTTGAAATCTGTTGCTGCCTGAAAACCAATCTCAAACATGGCCTATTTCCTGAAGCATCTCACTGAGGAGACAATCGCACTCAAGAGACTGGTAGGCCCTTCAAAGTTTTTTCCTTTTCCATGTTCAACCTTGTTAACCTACTGTCACCTTTTGCCTGTTCTTTTATGCATCAGCTGATTCCAACTGAGTTTGTTAGCAAATGTGGGAGGTTAAATCTGACCAACCCAGTAGTGCTGGAACCAACTATTGGAAACCCACCAGAGGTGGAGGTTGAACTCTACGAGGATGCTATGGGGTTTTGGCTGAGGAATGGCTGGCAGGAGTTTGCAGATCACTATTCTCTCACTCATGGTCACTATCTGCTGTTCGAGTACAAAAGCTTCTCCAGGTTCAAGATTGTGATACTTGGTGCAAATGGGGTGGACGTGATGTGTCCAGCTTCCAGGTTCCACAAGGTGGGCTTGAATGGAAACCAGGTGTTTCCAGAGGCTGAGCAGGAGGAAGAGACCAGGGGTACAGTCTCTGCGGAGCTCTTATGTTTCTTGTCATAACAAATGCGCTTGTTTTTATATCGCTCTTTAGTTTTGGGTTCATCATGACTTGCCTTCTACTGAGTTTTCTCAGTCTCACCTGTGGCTAAGAACATGGAGACCAATGGAGGTGGTAGGAGGAAGCCAGTCCAGCCGCAGTCTGCAGAGAAAGCCAAGCAAAAAGCATTCATGAGTTCTGGTGAGTGTAGGTTCAGCTTAGAACAAAAGAAAGGGATGAACGATTCAGAAATTTGATCATCCTTTCATCAATTCTGCAGGGAAGGGGAGAACCGCTGATGGTGGTCAGAGGGGTAATGGGAGTCAGTTCGGTAGGGGACGTGGACATCTTGAAGGTTAAACTTTTTACCTTACCAGCTTTCGAAAAATCAAAAGTTATTTCTTCTAGGTTTTATGAAGTAGTTTATGAAACTTGAATTGCCTGAAACTCATTGCGACTCAATGGAATGCATGCAGGAATACCAGAACCAAGGAAGGAAAATGCCTCCACAAGCTCCACCAGTCCAAGCTTCTTCATTACCATAAGTCAATGTTACATGGAGAGTACATTTGTAGTAAGTTCATTTATTTCCATAAATCCAATTCATCTTTTTTTAAGCAGGCTTTGCTCAACAAAATTTGATGTCTCTCTCGCTCTCTTTCATTCTCACCAAATATGCAGTATGTGCCGATTGATTTCGTGCTCAAACACATGAAGCTTGAGAAAAGCACTATGGCGGTTTATGGTGAAGATGGGTCGGGCCCGTGGTTCTTGTCCTTCGTCTTTAGACCACACAGTAAAGCTCGAGCTGGACGTGGACGGGGCTGCTTCTATGGCGGTTGGCCAGCATTCCGCAATGGCAACTCTCTGAAACCAGGGGATGTCTGCCAATTCAAGCTCATCTCCAGTAATGAGATAGAAGTGACTATTCAGAGGAATTAAGTTAGTTTTTGAACCTCCTAGAATGAAAGTTGATGTGTTATTTGTGGCTTTTTGTGTTTTAGGAGTGATTGATGCAGATGAGAGTATGAGACTACTAGTTTGTAGCTGAGGGAACTAATGGATATAGTTTGTTCAGGGCCGTGCTAAGGCTTTGAGTTTCTGAAGTTTTTATGATGTTGTTTCTTAATACAACTCTGCAATCTGCATCTATTTTCCCTTGATGTCTGTGATCTTTCCTTATTCATAGCTCTAGACTCTACAACATGACAATGTCAGGTCAAATATACAGATGCTGTCTGGCTGCAGTATTGCTTATTGCCTATGATGTTGATCAGACAGCTGTGGCTTGAACCTGAGCTGTAAGTGCAGGTATACAAGCTCCATAGAACATCTTCGAATAAAGGCCTTACTGCCGGCTCTGTAGGTATGCATTTGCTTGTGATCGAACAACGAATTGATAGTGACTCCTAAAAATGCTGGTACCACTTTCCATGAAAGGTATTAATTATACACTCTCGGCGAAGATGACGATGAAATATTTGTGGCAGGCACCTCAGATGAGCAGTAATATATTTGTGTGAATATTAGGAGGAAACAGAGAGAAGGGGCTCAAGCTAGTTTCATCAGTGTGGAATGCTAGGGGTCCTGTTTCTGAAAATGCAAGCTATTGACTTGCAAATCCAACAACTTCAACCTAATAACCAATATCTAAAATCAGCTCTTTCACTAAGACTGCTGAAACTGATTATAAGTGCAAATGTCACATCACATTTTAATCATCTTCTACCAGTGTGGAGGACCTGAATACTTGACAATCATTATACCTGGTGTTCGATCGATGTTTGGTTCATAAAATCATCAAACTCTAGCATCAAAACAGTGAGTTTGTGTTGCAAGTCGATTGATGGTCTGCTGAGAATGCCATGCACGAGGATTTTATGAGAGCAAGTGACTTGGTGTTGCGGAAGAAAGAACTCGAATTTATGCAGGGAAGCGCACAGCTGATAGTAGAAGTCCTTTCAATCCATGACTGAACATGGTGTTGCCAGACATTACAGCCAGTTCATAAGAGACCATCCACCTCAAGGCAGTGGTAGACCAGCAACTGAAGTTGCAGAAGGGTTCACTTCATCAAAAGAATTTCTCTCTGTCATCGTACCAGAACTCTTCCATGGCAAGAAATAGCAGCTTTTCCCATGAAAACTCGGAAAAAGGCATAAAGCTTTTAGCTTTACAGAGAAGGAACTGAAGAAAACTGTAAATCACACCATACCCCCCAAAGTATTGAACTTAGCATATATCCAGCAGGAAGCTGGAAACAGTCAAGAGATGATTTTCCATTTTAAAAAGCACAACATGCCTATCTAATTAAACATCTTTTACTATGGTAACTTGCATCAGGACATTAGTCCACCTCCGTAGGCATTCGAAAATGCAAATGTCCCCTGGCTTCACTGAGTTATCCTTCATGAACCTATCCCAGCCACCACCAAACATCACATACTTGTTTCTCTTCTTCCTAATCAGTGCCAAGGACCAGCTGTTTCCATCCCTAACCTGGATCTGCACCGCCTTCTCATCTTGTGCTATGTGACTCGATGAAAAGCTATGAGGTACATGCTTAAAGAAAAATAATCCGGCAGAAACATGAATCAGTCTATTATGGCAGTGTTCAGCTAGCAGTGGGTTGCATCTTTGAGGGGTTTTCTATTGGCATCGCTAAGCTGAACTTACCATTTGCCTCTTTGACATGCTTGGAGTGATTTGAACTTCAAAGAAAGGATGTGGCGAAGTGAATCCCGTACTAACCCTGCATTTCCTCGAGCGCGAGGGCTCCTCAGAGATCGTCCTCGTAGACTCATCCTCTTGTTCATCATCAACCCGGGATGAGTTGACTTCGATCATCCCACGTTAAGAAACACAACATTAACAACATCAAGAAAGTACTATGTCTGAAGAAACAACCCAAAACAAAGACATTAAACTCAAAACCCTCTTACTTACACCCATTAGTCGGTAACACGATCCGCGACCAGGATCCCATTTTAGCAGCATTTCCACTGGAAATACTACCCCTCATCACCATCATCTTGTTCTTAACTTGAGGCTTAGTGACCTCAGATAGAGATTCAGACCTCTTTCTTATGCCTGCACCAAAGAAATCCTCAGTTTCTTCGACATTCGCTTCACAAGTTGTACGAATCGGGTATGCAATCTCCGCACCGGTTCCATCACATATGACTACAGAGAATCTGGAGCAACCCTCGTACTCGAAAACCAAGAAATGCCCAAATTCCAAGGAGTGAAACTCCGCGAATTCACCCCATCCATTGCTGAACCAGACCCCAATTTCGTCCCTAACCACATCCACCGTCCACGTCGCACCACTCGGGATCTTCAAAGTCGCGGAGTTGGACAAACTCTCTCCATAAGTTCTAACGAATCTACCAGGAATCAGCTGCAACAATTTAGCAGCATGCATGTAAAGGAGCGAAGGAGGGAGAGTCAATTTCTAGATATGCTTATGCATTGGTTCATTAATCGAATTCTTACAAGTATTTCGTCACGAAGGGTGGCATGGAGGATGATTTTGACGAAATGGGTTCCCGCCACCAAGCTGCTGCCGGGGTCTTCGAGGCTCCGGTCGCCGGAAGAAGTCATCTGAGCTCAGACTACCCTGTGTCTCTGCATGCAGAGCAAAAGGGTCGGCAGGCAGGCCGCTTCAAGTTTGAGTTAAGCTTCTGCGGTGATTCATTCTTGCTTGAAATAAACAAATGCGGGGTGATGATCAGAAAGAATTAGAGGACTCAGAATCAACCTTGGTTCATGTCGTTAACCGGCCGGACCAGTTAGAAACACGGGTTTAATTCCGAAACCCAGCCCGAAGTATCATGCATTCAGGCTTGAATTGTATTTTCCTCTGTCAAATGGTTGAAAAGGAAAGGAAACAGAGAATCACTCATCCAGTTGGGCGGGAAAGGACGGTCTGGCCAATTTTTCTATCCACTCTCATCAAGTGCTTATTCTAGACCCATGGATGATTATGTCCCAAGGTTGTCAACCCGCGGGTTGACCCGGACCCGGTCGAGCTAGTGGGTCAAGGGTTAATGGGTCAACCGTTTTAGCCCGGTTTGGTCCGAAAATATAGAAAGAGTCATTATATTGTACTTATCCTCATAAATTATATCACATCTTATAGAACATATGAGTTATAACATATAATATTACACCAAAATAACATATCGTACTTAGATCCAACATATAGTGAAAATTCACACACACTTATATAACATAAATATTCAAATGTTCAACTTACTATTACAAAGATTGAGTTAGGCGAAAAGAAAAATTGGAAAATAGGCGCATTTCGCAAACCCGGTACCTAATAGAGGTCGGCCCGACGGGTGCGTGCGGCCCGTTTTTCTCATCAGGTCAGAGTCAAATTGGGTCGACCCGTGGGTCAACCCGGGGTTGACAACCTTGTTATGTCCTCATCAATCCAACGGTCCATAATATGGTTTTTCTACAAATAGAAGTAGCACAAACCTGACAACCAAATACTTCCTTTAACCGTTTTCACCAAAGCAGCTCCCCAAGTCCCAGTACAGCAGTACTACAACAGGCAGCCTGCTAGAAAAGTTTCCCTCTTTCTGTCTTGTAGCTTGAAAGTTTTCTCCTTTACCTTTCCCTTCGTCAAACCCTACAAAAGGAACCCGTGTTTCTCCTTCAGAGTTTGAGATCCTCTTGCTGTGAAAACCAACCTCAACCATGACCCATTTCCTGAAGCATCTCACTGAGGAGACAATCGCACTCAAGAAACTGGCAAGCTCTTTAAAAGCTTTGTCCCTTTTCATGTTCAAAATTCCAGTCTTGTTTAACTTACTGTCAAATTTTTGCCTGTTCTTTTTATACATCAGCTGATTCCGCCAGAGTTTGTTGGTAAATGTGGGAGGGTGAATCTGACCAATCCAGTGTTTCTGGAACCAACTGTTGGAGAGGCACTTGAGGTGGAGCTCTACGAGGATGCAACCGGGTTTTGGCTGAGGAATGGATGGCAGGAGTTGGTAGCTCAGTACTCTCTGAGTCATGGCCACTATCTTGTGTTTGAGTACAGGAGCTTCTCCAGGTTCAAGCTTGTGATGCTTGGTGCAAATGGGCTGGAATTGGAGTTTCCAGCTTCCGGTTCTGTCAACGTTGGACCAAATGGGAACCAGGTGGTTCCGGAGGCTGTGGAGGAAGAAATGGCTGTCAATACAGACTCTGTGGAGTTGTTAGGTTACTTGTCACAAGAAATGTCCCTCACTCCCTTGTTGTTTTGAATCTCTTGGGTTTTACTGGTTATCACGGTTTTGATTGTTGTTGAGTTTTGCAGGCACATCTCTGGTCAAGGACATGAATAACAACAACAACAACAATGGAGGTGGTGGAAGACAGCAGACACAGCTGGGGTCTTGTGAGAATGCCAAGATTAATGCCAGTGAGTGTTGGTTCAGCACATCAAGAGGGAAGGAAGAGTTGAAATTTAATCATCCTTTTTTCATCAATGTCTACAGGGAAGAGAAAAATAAGAATAGGAATAAGAGCACCATACTACCGAAGAATAAAGAGAAAAGAGAAGAGGAAGGTGGATCAGGAAGCTCCAAAGGCACATCGAGTTAATGGAAGCCCCTTTGGAAGGGATAAAGCCGAGACTTCTCGCATTCCAGCCATGGCTGAACAAGAAGGTAAAGAATTCTACTTTCCAGGCTTCAGTAAACTGACAATGTGCTTATCCAGTTTTCTTCCAAGTTTTACAGGGCAATGTATGGAATTTGAGTTGCCTGAATATATTCTTGATTTCTATGCCAGCTTCTAAGATACCTTCGGGCTCAAGGCGTGATAGACCCACACCTAAGTCTGTAGATGGGTTGTTTAATTCACAACCTGATTTTCTCCAAGTCGTTGTCAAGAAAAGTTCCTTGGATAAAAGTGGCTTGGTAGGTTGTCACAAACAAAACAGTGGTTTTGTTCTATTGGTTCATCTTAGTGCATACAGCTAAAAAAGTGTTTCTACCTGCAGCGGATGCCGGGAGGTATGGTTGAGAGGCATATCACCGATTGGAATGGCAAAATGGTGGAGCTTCAAGTTGAAGAAGAAACATGGCCCGTGAAAATTTCTACCGACAAGGGTGTTCCTATTCTTCTTAAAGGCTGGTGGGCATTTGCTCGTCATCACTCTCTGAAAGCAGGGGACACACTCATATTTGTGCCCACTAACACAGACGATTTGCTCAGAGTGCATATTCTGCGTTGTTCTCCTATGACGGCTGCTTGTTAGTTTGGAAGTTCCAACACTTGCTAGTGTAGTATTTGAGAATGATAACTCTGGTAGTTTGTTTAAGGATTTTGATCATGCTGTTGTTCCTTCGCCGAATGTTTGATGCTCAAGTAATGATTTTTGTTACTGATGTTAAGGATTGTTCATGATTTGTACTACTAAGTTAAACGGGCGGGGAGTGATTCTAACAAAGTATAATGTTTACTAAACCTTTCTTGTCAGTTTCATTGATGTTCATCTGCAACATGTTTCTATAGGAAGAAACTGCTTGTGTTTAAGGTTTGTACAATGGGTTGATTTCGTTATCTGAGTTCACCTGGTTTTGACAAATACACACAGCTACTTGATATGGCACAATGAAGGAGCTCGACATTGATGTAGTTATTGTAAGCTCAAAGTTCTGCACTTTTCACGACAGCTTGCTAAAACCCACTTCCAACACAGAAAAATGTAACCTGAAGAACACTTGGCACCAGCTGCATAGAAGGGTTCATTCAGAAACTCATATAATGTTAGCTTCTGAGCTGCAGAAAGAAGCTAGAGTTCTTCCTTGAGATCCTCTTCTTCTTCTTTCTCTTCCTTCTCCTCCTGATGATGACTAGTACCATCAGAGGCTTCGTTCTTGGCTCGGTGGATCTGTTCAATAACTTGCTCTAATGGCGGATCTCCTTGCCTCCGGAACAAGTTATCTCCGATCTTGATCTCGTATGCCTCCGGCTGGTTCAACACAAACTCCTTCAGCTGCAGCAGATTCCCAGGAAAAAAAAAAAAAAAAAACAGAAACAGAGTGAAGCCCAAAACCTGATGAAGAAACAGAGGAAAACAGAGAAGAAAAAAAGGGAAGCTCTCACTTCGATGGAGCGGCGGCCTTCGGCCATGTTCAACATAACAGTACTCCGATCAATCCCCATGAGATTCACTTCCATCGCTCCAGCTCTCAGCATTTTGGTCCATTTCCGAGCGAGATCCGCCACCGTATCCTGCAAAACCCCACTACCACCACCGGAGTTAACAATTCCGGCGAGCAGAACCTAATTCCGGTGAAGGAGATTGGAAATCTGGCTTACCGGAGTACGTTTGATGCCGGGCCGGAGCTTGACGAACCCGAAAACGGGGCCCATCGTCCGCTTCATGAAGGCTTCTTGAATCGCTTCCAGCTCCATGTTTGACATGTCGGAAGGCGGGGGATCGAACTCGTCGGAGGTCTTCTTCTTCCCCCATTCCTTCCACGCTTCGTCCTCTTCGTCGTCCACCACGTCGCGGAGGTCGTCGGTAATGTGGAATTTCCGGGGCCCTCCTTCCACGGCGGAGAATATCGCCGGCAGGAGGAGTAGCAGTAAGAGTAGGAAGGAAGCTGGATTGGGTTCGGTCGCCATTGCTAAAAAAAAAAGTGTGGATATTTGGGAACGAAAACGCCAGATCAGAAAGACAACTACTGCTACTAATTTGTTGCAATGGCTTTCTAACTGAATTTTCACTACCTCCCTTTATTCGGAGATCCTTCTCATATCTTATTTGTAAAACCACACACAAAAGCAAAATGTTCTTTGCTCAGCATTTAGTAATGGCTATTAGTACAACAGATTCTTCCTATAGACACATGCTGCTGCAGATGAACATCAACAGAAACAGTTACTTGAGCATCAAACATTCAGCAAAGGAGTAGCAAAGATGTTTCATTTCTCAGCATTTAGTAATGGCTATTAGTACAATAGATTCTTCCTATAGACACATGCTGCTGCAGATGAACATCAAGAGAAACAGCTACTTGAGCATTCACACATTCAGCAAAGAAACGATCGAAGGTCATTAAACATGCTACCATGAGTCCATGATAATCATTCTCACAAACTACATTAAACAGTTGTTGGAACTTCCCAACTAACAAGCAGCATTCGTCTGCTAACAACGCAGAATATGAACACTGATCAAATCTTCAGTTTCGGTGGGCACGAATGTCAGTGTGTCCCCTTCTTTCAGAGAATGATGACGCACAAATGGCAACCAGCCCTTGAAAAGAGTAGGCACACCATTGCAGGTAGTGATTTTTACAGGCCATGTTTCTTGTTCAACTTGAAGTGCCACCATTTTCCCATTCCAAGCTTTGATGTGCCTCTCAATCATACCTCCCTGCATCAACTGCAGGAAGTAAAACATTTTCAGTTGTTTCCTCGGAGATGAACCAATGGAACAAAAGCACTGTTTGTTTGTGACAACCTACCAAGCCTTTGTTTGCCAAGGAACTTTCAGTGACAATGACTTTGAGAAAACCAGGTTGTGAGTTGAACCCATCTAGCGTTTTAGTTGTGGGTCTGGAACACCTTGAGCCGGAAGGTCTCTCAGAAGCTGACATAGGTATCAAAAGTATATTCAGGTAACTCAGATTTTCAGTTCCCTAAAGGTTGGAAACTAAAATTCTGTACCCTCTTGTTCAGCCATGGATGGAATGTGAGAGGTCTCAGCATTTTCCCTTCCAGAGGGGCTTCCTGTATCTCCATATGTCATTGGAGCTTCCTGGTTCACCTTCATGTTCTCTCCACCATGAACTCTAGTTCTCTTTCCTGCAGAAATAGATGAGAATATTATCAAATATGTGTTCATTTCTTCCCTATTTATGCGCTGGACCAACACTTACTTGCACTCATGAACTCATTTTGACTTGCATTTTCTGCAGACTGTGGATGTTGTGGCTGCCCCACATCATCTCCATTGTTTCTGTTCATCTCCTCAACAAAGCCTGCCAAACCAGCATAAATTCAAACCATGTAAACCGAAATCATAAAGAGATCCAAAACAACGAGGTTTTGTTGTGACTAATAAGAGAGCATAAGATTGCAATGGGAGAACTGACCTAAGTATTCCATAAAGTTCGCATCTACATAATCTTCTGCCTCTGCAGACTCCACAAAGTCCTGATTTTCTTTCCGTTTGGTATTGTGACCGCCAAAAAGTCGCTTAGCAACTGGCTCACCTGTTCATAATACTTTCAGGAAAGTCAAATTTCATACAATACTTTGTACAACTTAAAAGAAAGCAGATCTGCAGTTTTGAAAAGCTTGGAAAGTAAAACGTCTGTAACTTCCATGGATGGAATGCGAGAGTAGCCTCATCCCATTCGAAGGGGCTCCCATTACCTCGATTCTTCCTTGAAGCTACCAAGCTCGCTTTCCTTTTCCCTCTGCCATCAGTTCTTTTTCGCTTAGAAGAAAGCAGAACTGCAGTTTTCAAAAGCTTTGAAAGTAAACAGTTTGTAACTTCCATGGATAGAATGTGAAGTTCTCAGCTCATCACATCCGAAGGGGCTCCCGTTACCTCGATTCTTCTGTGAAGCTACCAAGTTTGCTTTCCTTTTCCCTCCCACATAAGTTCTTCTTGTCTTCCCTGTTGACATTGATGAAAAAGGACGATTAAATTTCAGCTCTACTTTCACTGTTTATGTGCTGAACAAACACTTGGTGAACTCATCGAGCTTGGCATTCTCACCAGACTGCAGCTGTGCCTGCTGCCTTCCACCACCTCCATTGCTGTAGCTGTTCGTGTCCTTAGCCAGAGAAGTGCCTGCAAAACTCAACAACTATCAGACCATGATAACCTAGAAAACCCAAGAGATTGGAAACAACAAGGGACTTTTAATGTGACAAGCAACCTAAGAACTCCACAGAGTCTGTATTGACAGTGATTTCTTCCTCCACAGCCTCGGGAACCACCTGGTTCCGGATCGGTCCAATGTTGACAAAACTGGAAGCTGGAAACTCCAAGTTAAGCCCATTTGCACCAAGCATCACAAGCTTAAACCTGGAGCGGCTCTTGTACTCAAACACAAGATAGTGGCCATGACTCAGAGAATACTGAACTACCAACTCCTGCCAGCCATTCCTCAACCAAAACCCACTTGCATCCTCGTAGAGCTCCACCTCCACCTCAAGTACATCTCCAACAGTTGGTTCCAAAACTACTGGGTTGGTCAGATTCACCTTCCCACAATTACTAACAAACTCTGGTGGAATCAGCTGATATACAAAAAGAACAGGCAAAATTTTGACAATAAGTTAACAAGGTTGACAAAACCCTAAATTGGAATCCTTCACATGAGAAAGGTTAAAACTTTGAAAGGGATTACCAGTTTCTTGAGTGCGAGTGTCTCCTCAGTAAGATGCTTGAGGAAATGGACCATGTTTGAGGCTGGTTTTCACCGAGAGATCTCAAACTCTGGAAGAGAAACCCATTCTTGCTTTGTAGGTTTTGAAGAAGAGAAAGGAGAAGGAGAAACCAAATTGGTACTCTAATGTCTGAATTGAATTTACAGCAGTGGAGCTTGCTTTTTCTGTGATGAAAACCATTAAAGGAGGCATTCCTGTGTCAGGTTTTGTAACTTCTAATTGTGGGAAATTTGGGGTTCCATATTATGGACCGTTGGATTATTGAAGAAGTGCATCTAAGCCCTTGATGAGTGGGGAAAACATTTCAGCCAGACAATCCATTTCCCGCCTTATGCAACCGAAAAAACAAACGAACTGGGCTCATTGGAGCGGGAACGTTGGGCCGAAACGAATTTATTGGGCTCACCTAGAGTCGGCCCAAATTAGCAAGCCCAAGATGGCAAGTCCAAAAGAGTATTATAATAGGCTGCGCCAAGTCGTTTAGGGTTTCTACTATTAGTACAGACTTTGCTATTATAACTCTCCAACTCTGAAGAGCTTCAGCGCCGTCTGCGAGAGAGAGAAGAACGGGAGAGAGAAAACCCTAAGCAAAGGCAGCCATGGTAGGATTTCGTTCGTCGAGATCTTTGGTCTCTCTGGTCGCTTCTTCATTGATTCACTGATTCTTATTTGATTTCTTTTTTTTTTTTTTTGCCGCAGTCGCTCGTTGCTAATGAGGAGTTTCAGCACATTCTTCGTGTCCTCAACACCAATGTTGATGGCAAGCAGAGGATCATGTTCGCCTTGACCTCCATCAAGGGCATCGGGCGCCGCTTCGCCAACATCGTCTGCAAGAAGGCCGATGTCGACATGAACAAGAGGTATGCGTATTTTCTTTCCTTGTTGGGGGTTTTCATTTTGTGCTTGGTGGTTTCAGTGGTAGTCTGTATCTGTGTGGATTTTATTTGAGTAGAATCTGATTTACGAGAACTGAATCGGTTCTGGCTGTGATGCTGTGTCCTCGCTTTTATCTTCTGACTTCTGCCCATAAGAGAGAGTACTGTTGGGGTTTCCTGCTGATAGTTCCTCTAGAATAATTTGTTTGCTTTGTTGAAACCTATGGCGTTAATCTTGTTAACCTTTTCTGTGTTGCCCCTCGAGGCTGAAGTCTAGGCTTGACATGCTTCTTTCTGGGTGTTGGTTTTTATATTGGTATACTGGAAACAAAGGCAGGGTGGGCGGGGCATTTCTCTTTCGTTGTCTACATGCTTGTTTTCCTTTACAAGCATCATGAGTTCATTGTTGAGGGTTTTCGTATGCTGATCTGCGATATAAACTTTGTAGGGCCGGGGAGCTTTCTGCTGATGAGATCGATAAGCTGATGACAATTGTTGCTAACCCTCGCCAGTTCAAGATCCCAGACTGGTTCCTCAACAGGCAGAAGGACTACAAAGATGGGAAGCACTCCCAGGTTGTCTCCAATGCACTGGACATGAAGTTGAGGGATGATCTTGAGAGGCTCAAGAAGATCAGGTTTGTTTCTATATGGTTTCTGTTGGGTGGTTATGAATTTACGATCGAAACCTTTGAAGCATGACCCTTTTGTGTATATATGTGGTATTTAACTCCTGATTGTGGGTTTGCAGAAACCACCGTGGGCTGCGTCACTATTGGGGCTTGAGAGTTCGTGGACAGCACACCAAGACCACTGGTCGTAGGGGAAAAACTGTTGGTGTGTCGAAGAAGCGATAAGCTGCTCCCAATTTTCAGTGTTTGATCCCCGATGTTCTGATGTTTTTGTTGTTTTGAGACCAAGTAGGGTTATCTATATGGTTTGAGGATTCAGAGTATTGATACATGTTTCTGTGGTCTGTTGAATGAATTTAGAGGACTAGTTCCGTTGAAGTTAGTATCCATGTTTTTCTATGAATGTGAAACCGCCACAAATACTTTGCTTCTGTGTTATCTCAATTTTATCGTAAGGTTGTTGTGTTCTTTCTTGTCACTTCGTTACGACATTTCCAAACACAGAATTGTGGCTCATTTATGATTCGACTTATGTTTAGAGAAAGTTCCCAGGTTGCTTTCTGTGTTTTCCTGTGCTGATCTTTCATAATCATAGGGTTGAATTGAATCAGGATGCTGCAACCCAATAGAGGAATTGTTATTGATACCTCTGCTCATGACCATTTGGTTGCTATTAAACTTTGTACCTGTAACAGTTGGCCAATTACCAAATCCGATGGTATAGGTTTGCTGACTTGCTGTACGCCTGTACCCACCTTGGTTCGGCCATTTTCAATTTGCCATCTTTCGGGGCAGGTTTTCGGAGGTGCCTCAATCGTCTCATGGTCGTGGTGTATACATCTCTCGCTTCAGCCACCTAGCCTCGAGCAGAGTATTCTGCAGATTCGATGAATGTATTAGGAAAGTGCCTTGTCTGGAGAGGTAATGATGGAACAAAAAATAGGGTAGACACTAGACAATCCCTTATTAACAATCTCACCTTTTAGTAGAGAACGATTATCATTCATTTTAAATGATTGTAGGTGGGCACTGATTGTAGGTGGGCACAGGAAAAATGTAATACATGCATTCTAACTGAAATTGGAAAAGAAAACTTAATGCTCCACTAAAATTACAATTTACTTGTCCCAGTTGAACTAAATGCTCCACTAAAATTCTAAATCTCGGAGGTGGGTGAGATCCCTTATACCTCAAGAAAGAGCGATCAGACCATCCAAATTTCTATTACAATGCACTAAATCTTCTCATGATATGTAGGGTGAAACCCTTCACTATTCACCGAGGTTCTCAGTCTTAAGGTGGAACCATAAACTTCACCAACTCATGTCTAGTAAATGTAATCTATGACAACTTTACCTTTTTTACATTTACTCTCCCTTCTCTCTAAAAAGTCTCCTTTTTCCAGTCTTTCATGGCTGCCACCAACTCCTTCAGGTAACCGGCAGCAGCCCAAGTTTCTCCTTTTTCTCGCTTTTATTGCTTGTCTTATTTTCGATCTTCAAGCCTTTGTTTCTAGGCGTTTCACCTTCATGTTTTCAGTCTCTCCAGCCATTTTGACATTCCAGATCTAGGATTTTGCAGGTTCAAGGCTAGCTCGTTTGAGGATCTAGAGGTTGCAGCTTGGGAAGCTTCATTGAAATCTATGATGGAGTAGGTACGTCAAAGTCCCTCTGGTGAGGGAGGGAGTAACCCTTTATAGCTTCATTGAAATCCTGGGCAATAAAGAGACATTGTCATAGATGTCTCGAGCTAAGGCTAGACCCATAAAAGTCCCCAAAGAGTTGGGGAGAACACCTAAAAATTCATAACAAGCCTTTTTAGACCATCCACATCTATGAAGTAGAATTTTAATTTTATATGTGGCCCCAATTGTCACATCACCAACTTTTATCATTTTAATACATATCAGTTTCATTTCCTGTACATCAATGAAATCCACTTTTATTTCATGAGTCCAACTCACTTCTTTAATACAACTAAATATTTATCCACATTATTTTACAAAGAAAGGAAAACCAAAATATAAAAAGGAAGACAAAACATGAGAAGGCCCATTTGCAATTTCATTTGGTGTTTCACTTCATGAAATATTTCATAAATGAAATGATGGGCTACAACAATGAAAGAGAAAATTACATTGGCACCTCACTATGAAATGAGGAAGAGACGGTCGATGCACCTGCTCGTAGAAGACGCAACAAATCCTCTCAAAATGTAGGATGAATTCCTTACAACCTCAGCAAATGCTAGATTTTCTATTGGAAGACGGAAAAGGGAAGCCCAAAAATAAAAACAAAACCAAAATTATTGTTGTTAGCAAGTTGGTGAAAAACCTAGCAGTAATAACATGGCGATAAGAACATACAAATCATCAATTATCATCGTTTACCACTTGTCACCACCATCCTACCATTGTGATAGAGGGTGGTAGAAGTGGTATAATTAGTTTACTTTTTTTTTCTTCCATAAAAATATTGAGAATTTATCTTATTTTGTAAATCAGATTCAAATCGACGACTTAATCGCGCTGATCCACAATCCATTGAGTTTCCACAAAGAAGGATTGGGGACAAGGGAAGAGTAAGGGTCTGTTTACTTTCATTTCTGTTTCCTGTTTCTTAGAAAACAGATGTTGAAAACAGGTGAAAACAACATTTTGTCGTTTCCGAAAACAGCAGGAAGTTGCCACTTTCTGTTTTCATAGTTGGAAACGAATAGAAATCAGAATGAAAAGTAAACAAGTTTTCTCATTTCGGTTGCCAAATTTATCACATGAAAACAGAAAACTGGAAACGAAAATGAAAGTGAACAGGGCCTTAGCAACTCAATTGAAGAAAAAAACACATAGTACTCTCTTTTAGAAAGCAGAAAACCAGCACAGATCCGACCAAGACATATGCATCAGTTACAATAGTAGTGTGCATCTCATTATCGCCATAGTTGTTGATCTTTTATTACACGAGAATTTTGTAAATCATGAAGAAGAAGAAGAAATGCAGCAAATGTAATCTACGACTGAGTAAGCATGTCAAAGTTCCTCTCGCGAGGGAGGTAATATGTAGCTCCATTGAAATCCTTGGCAATTAAGAGATATTTTCATAGATATCTCGAGCTACAGGCTAGACCCATAAAAATCTCCTGAGAGCTAGGGGGCCCCTAAAAATTCATAACAAGTCATAGGAGGCACAAAAAATCCTATCAAGAGGTAGGATGAATCCCATACAACTTCAGCAAATCCTTGGATTTGTCTAGAATCTTGCCTATTCCCCTCTCACTCAAGTGCATGGCAGGTTGGTAGGTTAATCTCCTCCAAAGTTAATATTTACGTTTACTAATATTTGATTTCAACGTCGAAGGGTTCCACAGTCGCTTGGGCCTGGAGGGTTTGTTTTATAGGTATCTTTTTATCGATCTTCACTAAATGCTAGAAGATTGGAAGACCAAAAAAGGAAGCCAAAAAACAAAAACAAAATTATTGTTGTTGGCAAGTTGGTGAAAATTAACCTAGCAGCAATAACATGGTGATAAAAATATACTAACTATCATTTATCATCGTCTACCAGTGTTCACCACCCTCCTACCATTGTGATGGAGGGTGGTAGTTAGAGGTGGTATAATTAGCTAAAAACCAAAGGGTACTTACAACATATTAGCCAAACTTTTTTTTTTCATTCTTTTCTATGAGCCAAACCTATTGAATTACTAATAATTAGCCAAATATTTTGTAATGCATTAAAATATTAACTATTTTTCTGTTACCATTAATAATTTACTTACTCTTTTCTTAGTTAAAATACTAAAGTTTTGGAATGTTGACCTTCATGTGTCTCTTTCAAGTCAGTATCATGTTGCTAGATCAATATTATTAACAAAATTGCTAACCGAAAGTTGACATTTAGCTAGTTATTAGTAATTCAAAAGATTTGACTAATAAAAAAAAATACAGGAAAGGTGTGGCTAATAATTAGTCTTGACCAAAAAATAAACATATTGAGAATTTATCTTGTTTTGTAAATCACAACAAACCATATCCAAATCAACGACTTAATCGCATTGATCCACAGTCCATTGAGTTTCCAGAAAGAAGGATTTAGGATTGAGGACAAGGGAAGAGGAAGCACAACAATGAGAAGACTCAATGAACAAACACACATAGTACTCTCTTTTAAAAACAGAAACCATTACAGATCCAACACAGGCATGCATGCATAAACATAAGTTACAGTAGTGCGCATCTCATTATCGCCATAGTTGTCGATCTTTTATTAAACGATAATCTTGCAAAGCATGCCATGAAGAAGAAGTAGTAGTAACCCTTGTACTATGTCATCGATCTTGTTCAAAAGAGACAATTGAACCTCAGAGCTTAAGTTGGGGCAGATAAGAGTTACCATCGAAGCCCTTTTTGTAGGATTTGAAAAAGAATTCTTCGATGGAAATTTCTCGGTATATGGGAGGATTTTCTTCCGATAACAGCTCTTTTATAGGTCCATACATTCTTGATTTCAACATAAACCCGTTACCAAAAGAGCAAACCGTTGATACTCTTGGTTCAACATTGTTCACAATCACTCTATGCTCCACACTTTTAAACTTATCGTTTGATATCAGCTGCAAAAAAAAAAAAAAAAAATTATCATGCTATAAAAGTATGTATCTAAATCTTGGAAATGATATATCCAATGTTGTCAAATCGGTTTAAGGCATTGAGTAAGCAGTTTGAGATTCAATGGATTGATCAGGGTCCAACCTATTTGAACCGATTATATATCTTTTTTATATATACAAAAAGATAGTAATTCAAAAAATTTAACGACCGAAATAAATTTACCTTACCTATATCATTTAGTAATTTTACATTAAGTATATATGTAACCCACTAAAACTCTAATCCCATCTCATTCGATCATTCCATTTCAAAACAACAACATTTTGTAGTCGAGGCGGGAAATCAGAAAAAGTGACCCAAACACCGATTTTTTTGGATTTTGACTAGTTTTGATTGACTACCACTCAAAATGACTTGCTAGAGACCACTTTCGAGTCCGATAGAGGTTTTGTACTTGTTCTTTGTGGTAAATTAAAAGATTCAATCAAAATTCAAACATGTACCTGAAGCATATCTCCGATGTTGACCACTAAAGCCTCCGGCACTGGAGGCACATCAACCCAGTGACCTCGATGAACGACTTGCAGACCTCCGACGTGGTCCTGGGAAAGAACCGTGATGAACCCAATATCGGTGTGGTGGGTGATTCCCAGAGCGAGCTCCGGTTGAGGACAATGAGGATAGTAGTTGCAGGCTAATCCCATTCCTTCCGCGCAACCCATCTCCTCCTTCAAGTGATTCGAAGCAAGACCCAACGCCTCCGACAGTAGCTCGAACATCAAGCCCCCGACCTTGGATATTTCCTCAGAGAATTCCTGCACGTTTTCCCTGATGCAAGCCGGGATTTGCTCCGGCTCCGGTGGCTCTGGCGCCATGTTGAACAGGATCACATCGCTCCAATAGGCAACCGGCGCCGTGTACAAGCCGTAGTTAGACGTGTACACGACTTTTGACATCGGCTCGGCGCGGAAATACTCCTTTTTCGCTTCCGCGTCCTGGTTGAAGAACCGGTGGGTCCCGGCTTTGATCTTGTTCTGGGTGCTTGTCGGGACGCCGTGGTTCACGATTTGGAAGAAGCCCCACTTTGCCGATGCGTCCTGATCGTTAAACCAACAAACCACTTAGCTGCAATAACTCTTGTGGAAAAGATTTGTAAGAGGTTTTATCTCTTACATGGCCCCTCAAATAAAAACCTGTTTGGTAAGGCTTTTGAGATTAAGCATATTATTTTATTTTTCTGATACAAGGAACATCCTTCACGGTCCACCACCCGTCGACCAAGGTGAGAACGGAATGCTACTACTCAAGAGTTTTATGCACCAACTTGTTGATGGTGTAGCATCGAACACACGATTTTGTGTATGCCGAACCAACACCCCCACCAGATGGGCTGCCGCTGCCCCTCTTTCGCTAAGCATATTATTTTTTTTATGCTGCTAAATCATTAGACTTTTCAATTTGCACAGGTTGAAACATATAGTAGATTTTTTTCCGTCTCTTACGCTGATTTTCTGGACGATTCGTTTCCGCTCCTCGGGGTCGTGATCGTCTCTCGCACCTGCCAGGTCGATTACCGGGACGGAGAACTCCGGGTCACCGGCAGGAGCTGGAGGTCTGCCGTTGAGGAAATGCGGCGGCGCGTGGAACATCCGGGGTAGCTCTTTGACTCCGGCGTCCACTAGCCCCTTCACTCCGGCTTTTGATGCGCTGAATGCCTTCTGCTCCGCCAGCCGATCATAGCCTGAGTCGGTGGTGGCCATTATTTTTTCTCCTTGATTCTGGTTTTTTTTTTAATGCTCTTCAAGAAATTGATTAACTTGGCCAACTCTGATTTGGTTTTTTATAGACAATCGCCGGGGATTCTTCCTGTTGATTACCCTTGAAAGCATAAACTAATTACCGCTAATGGACATAGGACAGTTGACTTTTTTTTTTATAAAAAGAAATCCCACTTATAATGATATCATTTCGACCGGCCTTTGGCCGGCATTGATATGGTCATAATGGACGTGTGATTATGTTATTTGACCGGCATTTGTTTTTTTTTTTTTGGTTAAAAGTAGGGATAATAGCATTTTCATACATTTTTATTATTACAAATTAACAAATATAGCCCAAAATCAACTCTAGCTTCCCTGAAAATCAAAGAAAACAATACCCTATGATAAAAAAAAAAAAAAAAACAATACCCTTCGATAACCCACTAATTGATTCCCTGAGACCATTGGCGGATTCAGAAGTTCTACATAAGGGTGTCATCTCCTAAAAAATTAAATTAAATATTAAAGGCAGTGTCCCAAGTTTAAATCAAATAGACTACTACTTAAAATATTATTTGTACCAATACGCAAATTACTACGGGAGGTTGGATAATCATTTTCTCAAATTTTAAGGGTGTCCCGCTACCACTTAAACAATTTTTTTTGCTTATATGCAAACTACTATCGGAGGTTTGATTAATCGTGTTTCCAAATTTTAGGGGCGTCCTGGGCAATGTAGTCAAGATCGCGCTTTAAAACTTAAAAACTTACAATTTTACGTTTGTAGGCCACTAAAACGCTTATACACAAAATCTCAGTTTTTATAACTTATTTAGTTAAAAACTCCGATTTAATAAACTTAAAAACTTAAAAAATTTACCCTTCTAAATCACCAAAATGTTTCTACGTTGAAACTCACTTTTTACTACATTGATCCTGAGACACCTCTATTCATGCACGTATCCTTACTACATGTATACCCATCTCGGAGGACATCTCTCGCAAACCGTCACACAAAATGCTTAACCTTTGGAGGAATTTTTAGTTGCCAAAGCTTTTTTCATACTACGGTCTCCCCTTGCATTTCAATATCACTGTGTTCTTTAAATCCCTCCAGCCAGCTATCCTACATCCATCTTTCAATGTATATTCGTCATTCTAGTTTGAATGCCAAATCAGCTCCTATACCCATCTTCCACTGTATATTCTCTTTACTATGTTGTTTTATCAAACATGTTATTTATTATTTTTTACATCAAATATATCTTGTATTTTAAAAAAAAAATATCAAACATGCTCTTCTGTTAAAATTTTCATCCAAAAACCGTCAATCACGGCCTAACCTTGGTTTGGACAACACAAATGTCTAAAAATATACCTAATAGTTTTCACTTTAGAATTTTTCTTCTTCTTTTGTATAGCCAAATACTTCTAATGATTTCACTTTAATGAGAACTAGAGAAGTAAATCAGGGGACAAATTGACATTTTTCCTTCCATTTGTCGATGTCGGGTCATCTGAATCTCAGTCCAACCCTGATTGACGGTTTTTTAATGAAAATTTTAACAGAAGGCATGTTTGATAATTTTTTCAATGTGTATGAGCATCTTTTATGTAAAAAATAGTAAATTGGCATGTTTTCAGTCTTAAGGCGGAAGCATAAACTTCACTAAGTCATATCTAGCAAATGTCATCCGAGGGAGTAAGCATGCCAAAATCTCTCCAATGTGGTAAGGAGAAGCCTTATATAGCTTTATTGAAATCCTTGGTCATAACTCATAACTCATAACCCATAAAATAGATCTTGTCATAGGTTCGTCGAGCTTCAAGTTAGACCCACAAGTCGCCATAGAGGTGGGCGAACCCCTAAATATTCATAGCAAGTCTTCTTAGAAGTCACAACAAATCCTCTTGGGAGGTAGGTTAAGTCCATCCTAAATCCTAAGTTAGTGTATATATATATATATATGGTGGCGTCTTCGGTGCACTCACTTCATAACCGTCATTTTAAACATGCGATTTATGTCAAAATGATGTCATTCATCACTTATGATGTGATGAACAATAACGCACATGAATTTGCACAAAAACCATTGAAGATTTACTTTAATTTGAAGAAGTTAGAGTTTAGAGATTTAGGGTTAGGGTTAGGGTTTACAATTTGCAGCCTAGTTATTCTGCTAACTTGAAAATTTGTTAGTATATACTAACTAATATCCAAAATATATGAACTAATATCCAAGTCTGCTGAGTATCTAGATAACACATACTAGTATTCAAAACATCACAAACTAGTATCCAGATAACAAACTAGTATCCAGATAGCAGATACCAACTAATATCCACAATCAACCAACTAGTATTCAATATGGATACTCTTATGTGTTATCTGGATACTCTTAAGTGTTATCGGGATACTAATTTTGTGTTATATGGATACTATTCTGTGTTGTCTAGATATTAGTTTGTGAATTTGGGATAATAGTTGATTCATGGTGGATATCAGTTAACAAACTTTGAATACTAGTCTGTGCTCTCTAGATACTTTAGTACTTGGATACTAGTTCATGTATTTTGGATATCAGTTAGTATCTGCTAACGAATTTTCAAGTTAGCAGATTAACTTTCATGTACAATTTGGGGTTTAGGGATAGAACTCAAAATTGGAGGTCTAGGGCTTAGGGTAATCCACTATTTAGTTGTTATCATCTGTTATATCATCATATTACACTAATTCTACAAATTAAAATTCAAAATCCGACACCTTAAGACTAGTTTTTGAGTTGGGTGCATTGAGCGCACTCATTTTTGTGAGTGCACCGAAGTAGTCACCATATATATATAGACCTCCAATTTTGAGTTCTATCCCTAAACCCGAAATTGTAAACCCTAACCCTAACCCTAAATCTCTAAACTCTAAATCCTTCAAATTAAAGTAAATCTTCAATGGTTTTTGTGCAAATTCATGTGTGTTATTGTTCATCACATCATAAGTGATGAATGACATCATTTTGACTTAAATCGCATGTTTAAAATAACGGTTATGAAGTGAGTGCACTGAATGCACCCAAAACAGTGAGTGCACCGAAGACGCCACCATATATATACACACTGATAGTCGATTTGCGCATCGGGGGTCCCCCTCCCCTAGTCGCTTGGGGCAAGCATTTATTTTATAGGTCTCTTTGATGGATCTTTGATAAATGGTGGAAGTTTCGACTCAAGATACGGTAGGAGTCGTAGATCTAGGGACGAATGTATCATGTGGCTAGGGTTGACACAAGGTGGACATGGGCATTTTTGTCCAATTTTTGAATTTTTATTTTTTTTATTTTTTCTAGCATTTATTTGCTGCCGTATAATGGAAGAAAGAGAAAGTCAAACTTCTCTCTTCCTCTCTCTTTTCTCTTTCTCTCTTCCAATCTACTTTCTCCATATCTAGATCTCCTTCATTCTTTTGGCTTCATTTTTTTTATCTCCAACAATCGACGAAAAAAAATTGCAGCCGCTCGCCTCAAATCTGGTGACGTTCAAGATCCTTCTTCTCTCGAGCTGCTCCTTTCTTCTGTTCTTTCTTTTCTCGGTCTCAAAATTGGTGACGCTCCATATCAACCAAGAGTGGACGAATCTAGGTGAGTCGAGTTTGCATGTTTTATGTTTTAGTATTTGTTTGTGAATTTTCAATTTCGATCTTCATCCTTTTTTTTTTTGCATTTGGTGTTCTTGATTGCGGAGGAGGAAATGAGAGGAGACATAAGGCGAGTTATTTTCTCTCCTTCAAGGTTGTCAACTTGCAGGTTAACCCGGGTTGGTCCGAGCCCGCTCCTGAAAATGGGCTAGAACAACCCATTTGTGAGTTAGCCCGAAAATGGTCAAACCCAGAAAAACCTGGACGGTTGGCCCATCCGAGCTGGTCAGCAGGCTCTTGTTCCGAAGTGTCGTTGAATTTTTACTATGTTGAATTTAGGTTGATGTTATTTAAGTGCGTTGGAGTTTAAGTAGTGTTGTATTTTTTCTATGTTGGATTTCAGATAAGTATAATATAATTACTCTTTTCATATTTTCAGGCTAAATCTGGTTAAAACGGGTGACCCATTAACCCTTGACCCACTAGCTCGACGGGGTCTAGGTTGACAACCTTGCTCTCCTTCCTTCTGTTTTTCCCCTTCTTTTAGGTAATATATATTGGAGCACATTTACTATGCTATAAAGTATTGGTGTTTTAATTTACAACTAGAATTGTCGCCGCGCTTTGCTGCGGTTAGGAGTCTAAACTTCAGTCCGTCGATTCCGCTTATAGGTAGTTGGATTGAAAAATAATTATCTTGTGGTTTATTTGCCGTTGATTTTGTCTTTTTTCTAATACTTAATTTTGTATGAAATATGTTACAATATAATTAAAAATATTTACTTCCATAATCTAAATGTGTATTAGTTGGGTATGGATACCCATTTATTTGAGAGTGTTTTAAATATACATACAAAAATTAGACCTATTTGTAGAGCTTCAATAGTTTAGGTACCAAAATGTAATACACAAAACATTAGGTACTAAATTATAATGTTTCATCAATATTTGAGGACTTATATGCCAAATAAATAAATTTAGGTTATAAATCTAAAGATCTATTGAGTTTAGGTATATAACTATAATTTGCATAGTTGAGGCTTAATTCCTTTTATGGTGATGTATTTAAGATGATAATTATTTACTTTTCTATAGAAAAATGGAAACTATTAATTTGATATGTGTAGATACTTAACCAAGCATTCCATGTATAATTGTTGAAAATTATAGCCCGGGTGAAAAAGAAAACTTCTAGAGCGAAGCAAAAGGAATACAAACTGGAACTCGCTTAAAATTTCACACCTTCAAATCCCATAGTAGAAAATGATGACTTTCTAATAAGTAATAACCAAATATATTTATGTTTAATTGGACTCGACATTGAGTTGAAAAAGTTAGTGGTTCATGGTTTAATTATTAGTTCTACAGACTGTTGGTGAGTCGTGTATGGACCTGTTCATACTTGTGATTAAAATACATAAAAAGTAGTATGCTAATTAGGGTTAAACGA